TTTATATTATGAATATTATAATAGAAGTTAAAAGAAAAAATGTCAACATCATTGATATAGATTATATAGGCATATTTTGCTTTTCATATACTTCCAAAATATGGTTAAAAAGTAAAAAGTGAGCCAATCCATTATATATAATACTCACATTATATAAATGTAGGTATATACATATCTATATATACCTATATATAACACATTATATATAACATATGTACTATGTTATATTACATGTATACACACATTATTTTTATATATGTATATTTAACAATTTTATAAGCACTTGTGGTATAATGACTATACTACCCATCGTTTCAGAGCATCAGCCCTGTTGTTGCCTCTAACACACACAAGATAAATAAAAAGATGACCATAATGACAACCATAGAGATATACTTAGAAAGGTCAAAATAATGGAAACTTTATCATTACCAATATCACAGCACAGGCACAATCTTTGGAAATGAGCACAATAATTTTAACTACACAACAAACGCACTATTTAGTTCTACTCCAAACTCAAGTATCTTTGATTATTTTGACTTTGATGCCTAACACACATGTAGAAATGTCTCTATAGTGAAATCTTACAAGGTCATTTTCTAAAACAAGCAGAATATAAATCATCAGTAGAATAAATACTTTAAATACTTTAATATTAATTTATCAAGAGAATTTCACTAAACAGAAATCAAATTATTAATTTACCCTACACCAGTATTTGCAATATTTTGTTCAGTTTTAAAAACTCAATTAAGAGATTAATGGCACATTTTATCAGGGATCATATTATCTGAGACCTCGACTTCAAATATTCTGCCCTAAAATAGCGATGGTATGTTTGACTGAATTTCTGCTTACACAAAAACAGAGGCCTAAAATTCTTCCCCTTTCCTTTCACTGAATTTAAGCTTTTCCATGAGGTAAAAACACATGACTGGCCTAACAGATGACTTTGAACTGCCTTAATGCCTTTGGAATTCTGACCATTAATCTAAGCTTAGTACAACTAAGCATATAATTTAATAACATATGCACAATGAATATATTCAATATCATTTGCCACAAATGATTACAAAGTTATTAATATTCATTAACAATTTTTTTTGGAAAAATAAAGATGCTCCTGAATCTTTTTCTCTTCAACTTAGCCTAAATTTCTGGTCTTTAATTATAAGATTTTTTTCTTACGTCTTTTATAAATGACAACCATAAGACTTCAAAGAAAAACATAGGATCAGTCCTTTTTCTTGAGCTACCTTCATATCAGCTATGAATGTATGACATGTACCTAATGATGTTTACTAAGTCTTATTATGCTGCTGTGTGTTTTTCTGAGCAGCACAATTCTTAATTCTTTGTTAACTACTCTTTCTGTGTTTAGTTCCCTATATCTTCAAAGCTATTTCTTTGGTTTAATAATGCTTGAATGCTAAGAGATAATTTATGTAATTCAGCAGTATCGTTTATCTAAAGATCTTTGAGCATTTGCTATTATTAACTAGTAATAATAAGTATTCTTTTTCTATAAATGCATGTATTGTAAGGTTCATATGTAGCGAGATAGATGAGAGCAAAGCTTCAGACTTAGCCCACGGTTCTATCATAAGGCAAAATTACTGTATAAAACTTTATTTCCACCAAAGAAATCTTAGAAATAATTTCTGCAGTGGACCAAGGAGTGTTGCACATGTATTCTGACATTCATTTCTGACTTATTCTGTGAATAACTTCCAGGATTTGGGCATTTTAACCACTCCCCCACGTTCAGTCAAAGAGAAAAGACATAAGTACATTTTTCTTTTTACACTTTGCACCAGCCTTCTGCATTAAAAACATCAGTAAGCTAAGGAATTATGTCAGTATTTGTGTGGTAGAACACACTGCTGGGGGTCTATTAACAGAGAATGCCAATTCAGCTTTTCATCCCTCTTTGGTGTGTGAAATTCCTATTTCACAGGACTATTTGTAACACTGATTTGGTTATATATTAATAATGAAGAGATTGTGCAAAATACAGTTGAATCTAGTAAGGTAGTTATGAATAAGGTATTAATTTTAGCATTTTTCACCTACTTCAAAATTTCTACCTTTGATTCATTTACTTATTAAAACTAGTATTGATTGATTGTCTGCACTCTAGTGGTTATTTTTATCTGAGCTTATTTGCCCTAACAATATATATTTATTATATATATTTTACAGATGAAGGGCTGAGACACAGAAAAACAAAGGCACCTGCTCTCTGAGGCAAGGATGATATAATTTATTATTCGAAATACCGTACTCTTTCCATTCCCCAGTTTCAGAATGTGAGCAGTACTTGTGAACCACAAACATTTTGGAACCAAACTTAGTTGGCTTAAAAACCTGAAATTTCTACTTAAAAAATTACATAATTTTTAAAAGGATTTTAAACTCTATAAGCCGCTGTTTCTTCATCTGCAAAAACAAGAATAAAAGTAACACTTTGAAAGAATGAGAGATAATAAGTGTATACTATTTAGGGAAATAATAGATGCTTATTAATAGTAACTAATAAAAATACTGGAGGTAGGTTATCTATTCCTTTCAGTGAAAGTACTGATTACCACTAGACTTGGAGTAAATAAATCAGATGTTTAGTCCTAGTTCATTTTAAAAAATGCCTATATGGCTCTCTAGAGATCTTTTAGGTAACTACTGAAAAAGAATGACAAAAGTTAACCTTCTTGTGAGTGAAACAAACAATAAGTGAAAATAAATAAATGATAAAAATTTCAGGCAGCATTTAGTACTATGAAAAAGACTGTCTTAAAAAGAAAATAAAGAATGATGGTATTAGGTGTCAAGAGATCTTAGATGGGACTGTTAGGCCAGGCAGCTCTAAAGAGGTAACAATAGAACAGAGACCTGAATGAAGTGACAGAGTAAGTCATACAAAGACCTGAAGAAATGGCGGAGAAAATAGTAAGTGTAAGGCATAGAGGCTGTAATAAGCTTGCTATTGAACAAAGGAATGACAGGGAAGGCAGTGGAAGAAGGCTAGGAGGTTGTCAGAGATAGGAGGGGCCAGATCATGTAGGCTTCTGTAAGCAACTGGATTTATTCTAGGTGTGTTTAGAAATCATTGAGGGTTTTCCTGAGAGCAGAAGTAATCAGGTATAATCAATAAAAAGCTCTCTCAGCATGCTAAATGGAGAATAACATCTTGTATGGAAAATAAACTTCTGTGTGGTTAAGCACGGAAAGTGAGGGGATAAATTAGGTTATTGTCATATGCCAAGTAACAGAGAACAATGGCTCAAAGTTAGACTGTTAGACCGCTTGATAAAAGCAGTCTGCATGAAACAAAGAGGAAGAAACAATGGTTTCTGCATGTGTCCCTTCCCGCCTAAGAAATGGGGTGAACAGTGATTTCACTTACTGAGATGGGAAAGAATGAGGAACATGTTTTATAAAGGTCTAACCTATCAGATATCTAAGTGGACTTAGTGAATAGGAAGTTAGATATATAAGTCAGAATCTCTGAGGAAAGATTGTTATTAGTTATTAACTTGGAATTCACTAGGTCGTAGATGAATTCCATGTGATTGAATAAATTATCCTTAGTAATGATACCCAAGGTCAGATTCCCACACTCTCCTAGAGTTTGCATAAATTCATTAGGATCCAGAAGGAAAATATGAGATAATTTTATATTTATTTGTATATTTAATTAATATTATGTGATTTGATACTGATGCCCTCAGAGTCTCTTTATCAGTCATTTACATATCATGCTGCACACAGAGTGTACTGAGGTAACTGTGGAAATTATACAAGGATGTGTGTTGGGCAAAGCCTCATTTTTATTTTTATTTTTGTTTTTCTTTCATCATAATATGACACATTAGAGTTTAATTATATCTGCACACATGAATACATACGAATAGATTACCTAGTTTTTAAAATGGCTTTTTACTATAAACATTTTATTTAGGGATAATTTTAGATATATGGAAAAGTTACATAGATAATACAGAGTTTCCATATATTCTTCATCCAGTTCCCCTAATGTTAACACACATGACTTTAGTATCTTTGTCAAAACTAAGATATCAATACTGGCACATTGCTTCTAACTTTATTCAAGGGAGAAAAATGATAATTTACTTTGATCCAGCAAGACATCAGACTGAAAAATCGAAACAACCAAAGAGACTATCTAAACATTATTTCATATACATTACTGTTCACAATCAACTTTGCCCCAAGTAAGTGGATTTGAAACCTTGAGATATTGGTTAATGATTGATTGTATGAAGCCATTAAAATTAGCAATCCACTCAAATAATTTAAAACTAGCGACAGTGGCTTAAGACACTGCTCACAGAGAAAGTAGGAAAGAAGATGTTTAGTGGTCCTAAACCACAGAAGCAGCTGTGACCCTGTAATGCTTTGCCACAGAGATGTACGCCACCACAGTGGAGGTAAGGGAGGTAGAGTGTCAACACCAGCAGGCACCATGAGAGCCAATGTCATGTGACTTGGTGTAAACTGTATGTGATGCCTTGTCTACATCCATTATTTTCTCTAGAAATTGTAAGAATGGCAGCAGAAATTGTAAGAATGGCAGCATCTGTTTTCAAGACCGTACACAACTACCGGGCACAAACACTAGCCTAGTGTTTGTATATCACTAAGAAAGAGTAAGTAATCTCATTTCATCCTTTGAAGATATATGTCAAAGGAAAAAAAAATCTCTACAATGGAAACAAAAGCTCTCTAGTTTCTCTGATTTGTTATATTCCAAATTGGTGCCTCTGACCTTTTCTTAAAACCTTAAACATCACAAGGAAATCAGTGGGAAGGGAATCATGTGCTAACCAAGAACTGAGAGGGCAGAAAAACTCACTGAAGTGAAAGGCAATTAGTAAGGGTGGAGAAGAGAACCAGCCCCTCTCCGTTTGGGTGAACAGATTTGTGATTATCAGACAGAAACCCACATGCAATTAACAGCTCTGACATCAGGGGACTAGCAAATATAAAACGCTCAGCTGTAAGAGAGGTTCAGCAAAGAATCCTCTCAGGAGTTTAAGGTACTGGAGAGAAGCTCTGTAGGAAGTAGGTGGACTCCCGCCAAAACTCCATTAGGATGGGGACTTTACATAATGAAAAATTAACTTGCTGGAAATCTCCACCCAATTCTTCTTTCAGCTTCATGGTTAAATGTAATTAATGGTGGTGACCTGCTAATGAATGCTTTTGATAAATGATATACAGTATAAGTATTTTTTTATATAAATATAAATTAAAAATGAAGAGAACTAAATGACAAGGACAGGGGATTTAATTATGTAGGTATTATAAATGCCAAATTTGTAAAGGTAAATTACTATTTTTATTATTTGTTTGAAATGTTTTACAGATTTGAAAATTATTTTGAAGGGGGCTTGGAAAGGGCTCATGCCATTTATAACAGTACAAAAAACTTGCATAATTCCATTTTGCTTTCTCTTTTTCAGTTTGATTTTTATCTATGTGCCTCAGTCTTTAAACAAAGAGCTGCAGAACAAGAGCCTTGCTTCAAGCAGAATGAAAGATCATAAATTCCTCTCTCTGGGATGTATCTTCTTGTCCCTGCTATTTTTTCAGCAGACATGGGCTCAATTTCCAAGAGAGTGTGCCACCATTGAAGCTTTGAGAAATGGTGTGTGTTGCCCAGATCTGTCTGCACTGTCTGGGCCTGGAACTGACCTCTGTGGCTCCTCATCAGGGAGGGGCAGGTGTGAAGCAGTGACTGCAGACTTCCGACCCCACAGTCCCCTGTACCCACATGATGGCAGAGATGATCGAGAGAGATGGCCCACACGGTTCTTCAATAGGACATGCCACTGCAATGGCAACTTCTCAGGACACAACTGTGGGACCTGCCGTCCCGGATGGAGAGGAGCTGCCTGTGACGAAAGGATTCTCACAGGTAAGCAGAGATATAAATGGATACACAGTCCTGCACGAGACCCAAATCATTTGAGCTGGAAGAACACCTGGAAACCATATAATTCAATCCTTTCTTCACCGATGTGGCAACTGAGGCTTAGAGAGCTTAAGTAATTTATTCAGTGTAAAGGGTTGGGGTTGAAGCTGAGGACATTTATGGCTATACTTTCAGTAATTCCTCATGGTAGTTACATTAATTATCACGGGTATGGTTCAGGAAGGTAAAATTTACATAGCTGGTACTTAGAAAACCTGGAATTTATACTGAGATCTGTCTTCTACTACTCTTCCTGACCCACAAAGAAACTTTCCACTGTGATGATAAAGTTCAGTCATTTTAGATGAGATGGGCCTGAAGCCTAAATATCAATAAATAACAAAGCATTAAATAGTAATGGTCAGCAAAACTTGATTGTTTTCTATGTGCCAGACTAAGAGTTTAACAGAATGTTTATTGACTTTCTTATGAGCCAGGCTCTGGTCTAATTGCTTTGTAGGTGTATACTCTTTAACCTTTACAACTCTGTAAAGAGAATTACTTTTACACACACTTTACAGATGAAAAACTAGGGCTAAAGAGAAATGTGTGCAGTCATAGAATAAGTCTCTGGTCTTAACCACTACCACACACCTTGTTTTTGTAAGATTTACAATATTAAAAATGCAGAAATTTTCAAGAAAAAGCCTATAGTGAGCAGAAATAAATAGAACACAATCATAAAGTCCACAAGTAAGATTACAGAAAGCTAAAAGGAATTCTAGAGTAACATGGGGAGGAAGAAAGGAAGAGAAGCAAGGAGGAAGGAATGGAGGAAGGAAGGGAGGGAAGGTGGGAGGGAGGACTAGATAGTAAGGGGTATTTTAAAAACTATAAAATCATATAAGCACATATACAAATTATCTTTATTGGTAAATGGGACATGTTGTGTTACAAGATTATTACACTCATTCTCTACCCATCTCCACAAGGCAGAGGTTCTCATGTTTGAATTTTGTATTCCCTAAAGTCAGGAGAAACCTTCTGGACTTAAGTACAGAAGAAAAGAAGTACTTTGTCCAGGCCCTGGATATGGCAAAGCGAACAACTCACCCTCAGTTTGTCATTGCCACCAGGAGATCAGAAGAAATATTGGGGCCAGATGGCAACACACCACAATTTGAGAACATTTCCATTTATAACTACTTTGTTTGGACACACTATTATTCAGTCAAGAAGACTTTCCTTGGGGCAGGACAGAAAAGCTTTGGTGAAGTGGATTTCTCCCATGAAGGACCAGCTTTTCTCACATGGCACAGGTATCACCTACTGCAGTTGGAGAGAGACATGCAGGTATGCAGGAAATATTTCAATTTTCAGATCCTTTACAGACAAGGTGCCTTAGTTGTAAGTTGTTTGATTCATTGTGTTCCAGAAGAACAAAACATGTGATAACACTGCAATTTCAAGTTATTAATCTGCCTTTGGAATTTTAAGTTTCTCCCTGTACTAATTGTTTACTTATTACCTGAACTTTATCTTTTGCAAAGTAAAAAGAAAGTAATCTCAATGATGAGGAAGCCAAAGGAGACATTTATAGGTGTGAATTAAAACAATAGACATGTTCTATAGCTCTGTAATTGAAACAATGACTCATATAGTTTGCAACAAAATAATCTCATTCCATATGTGTTTCTTCTCACATGTCAACCAATGCTCCTTCCTGGTTTGGATGAAGCAAGTGTTTATGGACTTGTCAGTCTTCCAAGTCCCAAATATTCTGGTGGATAATTCTTTCTAATACAGCATAAGGTTTAAATTATGAAAAAAGTTCCTTTCCATTCATATTGTCACATTTTCATTGAACACCATTTTTTTTTTTTGCCATGCCCTTCACCACATTAAGGCTTACAGAAGAAATCTATTAAAAATATCACATCACTTAAATATTATTTTTACTTAAGAGGTATTGGCTCTTTAGGCATAAACCGAATCTCAACCCAAACATAGTCATTCCCTGCTTATTTTTAAGCAGATAAGCTCGAAATACATTAAAGTATCTGTTAACATAGATACCTCATTGTTTACTTTACCAATTGCTATTTCTTAAGAAAAGTATTGTAATTCTAAAATAAAATTTTAAATTATTAGATCTCAACTAGAAAATCCACAAATTAAACCTGTCTTCTATATGAAATAACAGAAATGAATCCCTCCCCTCATTAAAGTATAAAAATTAATTTAAAAAAATCTTGAATTGTAGGATGCTTATGCCCAGAATTATTCCAAGAAAATAAATGGTTAGAAGAGAATCAATGCACTAAAATACAGAAAGTATTTGAATAAAAGTAGTCTATTCATATGCAGTTTGAGAATGATTAAAAAAATTCATCTGATACTCTGAACTTCATGTTGTATAGCTCTGATTACAAGCAAGACATTTAGGAGATTGAGCTGATAAATCTGTCATTCGTATTTGACTCCAGATCTTCGTGCCTTCCAGTCATTTCCCCATGAGCACACCAAAATGAAAAGGCAAATGGAAAGTAACTAAAAGCTTCAATTTTGCCTATGTAAACGTCAGCTTCTATAACTTACATTTTTAAAACCCAATAGCACAAGGGATCCAACAAATTGCAATGTAAATGTAACGCGCCATTGAAATGCCACATGAATATGCTCCAGTTCCCAAATGTCAGTTGCTGAACCACAAACTGACTCTTAATAATCCCTTGGAAGCTGTCACAAGTATTTGTGAACCAGAACAATGGCTTCTAAATGAGGACTCTAAATCTCTGGAGATCCATAATTGGAGATACCTTGGAAAGCTTTTGGCCCTCTAAAACACCCTGAAGACAAGGAAATGCTTTCTAGAAAGGGTTTAAAGTGAAACAATGGTAACATACGAAATGCATGTGAGGCAGAATACAACAATGGCAATCCCTACATTTAAATTCAACACTATAAATATAACTCCCCAAAGGCAAAACAAAATGAGAAATACAAGTACAATAAATATATGTTTTTAAAAACCTAATAAAATAAGCATGTGATTTTGACTCCAGCATTTTTACTAGAATTGAGATCAGCTCTAAATAAAAATTTGGTCTCTGGATTGAAGAGCAGTGTGCACAAAGAAATATTCTGCTTTCCTTTAGCATTTCTTGTAGGTATGAGTTTCAGACAGAAGCCTGAGTCTTCATAGTTTATATTCTGAAGCAGAGGTCTAGGTAAAACACCTTTAGTGCCCAGGCGGAGAGGTAAGTGTGAAAGAACCTATGTAGCCTGTGGCCAAACCAGAATCTAAATGCCTGAAGTCATTTAAGTTAAACTAAAAAACAAAAACAAAACAAAAAGTACGGCTCCACATAAACTATTTTAAGGCTGGATCTGGCTCCAGATTAAGAGTTAGTGGTGCTTGAATTAGAGATAAGAAAATGGAAGGAGATGGAGATGTCAAGAAGTTATTATTACTAATTTTTGGTAAAATCAATAGAAATATAATTATCTGTCTAAGAAAGAAAAGGAAGATCATTACCCTACTCTCCAAAAAAAAATCACTTGCTAGAACTTCTATATAATGAGTTGAGTTTCATTCCTTCTAGTATCTAAAATGACTCCTTGAAGTAAATTAAAAGCTTTGTTAAATAAGGCATTTAAGTCCTCCAAACACCTCAGACACCACTGACACACTAACTGGTTCCTAAGTGGCTGAAAAGAACTAATAGAAATAGACTGCCAAGGAGTAAACCAAGCAAAGGGAGAGACTTAAATAAAGGCAGAGAATGCTAACAGAGTTTCCGTGATCTAGGAAATGCTACGGAATCCTTCTTTCTCTCTTCCTTACTGGAATTTTGCAACTGGGAAGAACACCTGTGACATCTGCACCGATGACTTGATGGGATCGAGAAGCAACTTCGATTCCAATCTTATAAGCCCGAACTCTGTCTTTTCTCAATGGAGAGTGGTCTGTGAATCCTTGGAAGATTATGATACTCTAGGAACCCTTTGTAACAGTAAGTTCCAAATGACATCTAGGATTCAGAATTCTCTATTAGATTAAATTTGCTGCCCTTCATTCTACTAAGGACTTCAAACTAAAATTTGCTTTTATTATAGAGAATCAATGTACAGATATTCATGGCACTACTAGGATATTCAAGGCAATCTATAAGGTGTGCCACGTGAAACAGAAAGTGCCTAAACATTTTACATTGCTTTACTTGAGCAATTCGGTCAGTGTATTGCTCACTTTCTTACTTTGGAAATGTCTAATTGTATAAATTAATCCTATTAGTACAGTCAATACTTCTTAGTAGTCATGTGTCTTGAATTGGAATTTCACAGAAAAAATGTTTCCCAAGGAAATTTGAAATAGGCAGAAACAGTTGCAAGAGCCTCGGGAGTACAAATTTATAATCATAATTAATATATTTATAATTATTATAGTATGTTACTGTTAATCTAGTCAGGGGGCTAAAAACCAAAAGGTGATATGGAGAATACCTTTAAGAAAAGGAATATACTGTATAGAAGATGTCTGCCAGCTAGCTGCTTTCCCGCTCTCTAAAATTTAACACACAAAAAAGGAATGCTTAAGCAGTTGTTTTAACATCCTTTCTCTACTGATCTGAACACCACCTCTGCCATAGGTTAAGTTTCTGTTATATATGGATCTGTTCCTGAGCTTTCTATTCTCTTCCTTGGATCATATTATTATCTGCCCCCCTGCTACTAACACAAGGTCTTAATTATTAGTCTCCTTATCCAATCTCATATTTCTTCTTGAGGCATGTCTGACCATTTTGAACTTTTGTTCTTCCATATAAAAAATTAGGATTATGGGAATTTATTTTATTATATTCATAATATTTACTCTAAACATATTTTTCAAAGCATCAATTATTGAATTCTCTTCTAAACTTAAAAAGAGAATATTCTAAATGGAACAAAGGAATTAGGTAGAGTTTCACCATTATAAAATTATTTAGCAGTGTTTAAGAATAGAGAAGTGATATATATAAAATTTTCTTCTGTAGAAGCTTAAAAATTAGAATAAATGTTTGTTTGTTCAGCATGCTGAATGAGCAGTCTCACCTTGTGGTACAGAAATTAAATTGAGGATCAAGATCTATTTAGATATCAAAAAAATCATCTTTTTCTGACCAGGCTATTGTATTTGGCCTGGAAGTTTTCCAGACATTTTCTGATCACCCTGATGATTGGACACCAAAATATAGCACAATTTAAATGGATAAATAAAATAGCATAGGAGGAGATTTTGTTTTCATCACAATTTTTTTTGTCATTTAACATAACATAATTCTGACACACAGTTTCATGAAAAACTGAAGTTATAATATTTTAGGTGAAACAAATTTTAAGATTACTCTTTGCTTTAGTTTGAAATAAAAATACCAAATATATTTTATTTATTAGGCCAAAGAAAGAGAAAAAGGAAACTAACGTTTTACTGAACACATATTGTGTGTCTGATATGGTGTCACAATGCTTTAATATATCTTATTTAATCCTCATAGCATTCTTTTCTCTCTACTTTTCTTCCTGAATGAAATTTTCCATTCCTGTGGTTTCTCTGATTATCTTTTACAGGACACCCATATATATACATCTTTAAGTCAAATCTTCCTTAGACATTCCATATCTATGTTTCATATGCTTATTGCATGGTATCTCTCCAATATTCCATTAATGCACCAAACTCGGTATATAAACTGAAAGAGTGAATTATTGACCACTAAATTCTTTCAGCCACTAAAATATATGCTTTGATTCATCATATGAAAAGCATTATTTTCTTTACAATACTTCTCAAATATATTTTCTCCTTTAGACACTCAGAACTTTTCATTCATTCCTGCATGGAAATTCCAAGGGAATCCAATCTACACAGTGTTAACAGGTGCAACGGAACAGAGATGTAAAGTGCAACATAAGGAATATAGTCAATAATGTTGTAATAGCTATGTATGGTGTCAGATAGGTACTAGACTTATCAGGGAGATTGCCTTTCAAGTTATACAAATGTCTAACTACTATGCTATACACCTGAAAACTAATATAATATTGAATGTCAATTGTAATTGAAAATTTTTAAAGGATTAATAAAAATTAGGTGTAATGGCAGAAGTTGTCCATGTACAAACAAATTTAAAAAATCACTTGGTTAAAATCACTAGTTAAGTGGGTTTAACTAGTATCTTTACTATCAAAATTCTGTGCTATGAAACTCCATGAGTGCAAATGAGGATGTAGTGTTTTTGAAACCCATGTAATCAATACTTTTTTCTTTTGGGATGTGTTGATAGCTCCCTGAACAGTAATCTCCAAAATATCAGCTTAAATTGATAGCTTAGCCAGTGCTGTCAAAAAGTTTTGATAATGTACATCTAAAAAATTCACATCCCTTTCCACTCTCAATATAGGTATGTGTTTTATTTTAATATTATATAAAGTTAGCTATGCGAACTCACCAGGTACTACTCATTACATTAATTATAAACATACAATTAGAAAATTTTCTGAATCAGGTAAAATGAAAATGAGTAGATGCTATAATATTATCTCTCCCACCGCAGTGGATTATTCTGCACGTCCCCTCTAGGGCACAAAAATCCTCCCTAGAAACCACTGGAACAGACTAATGCAAAATGCTTCTAACCAATATCCTCTCCTCCCATCTACCTAAGGCTTCTCCCCACTTCCTGAATGAATATAACTTTCTCATCGTGCTTTTTGATTTCTTCACATTATGGTTCTGGTTTAGCTTCCCATCTTCCCTACCATCCACTATTCTCTTACATTACCACATACTCTAGGCAAACTATCCCTCAAACAGGCCCTCTTTTACAGCCAACATTATCTATCCCATATGATAACATACACCAAACAACTATTTAGCAACTATTATATGCTAAGCACTGCATCAAGACCGTGGATATACTTGTGAGCAAGAACAGATAGGTTTCTTGCTCTGATGGAGCTTACATTATAGATAGAAGAAAGCTTACCATCTCTTGTTATTACATCTGCTTAAAATGCTTGACTTATAAAATATCTACTATTCCATATATGGAAATTCTTTCTGGAGCCAACCAACTGGGAAAGATATCTCCCACCCTCTCTGCCTTCCATAAGAGGCATCTATCATATTACCCCTAGTATCACAATTACCGGTTTGTCTTACTACCCTTCAAAATTTTTAATTATTTCTGAAATTAATTGCTGAAAAATGCGTTGATTGAAATTGCAGATTGTTTTTATTTCTCTGAAGGCTTGAAACTGACAGTATTCAAGCACAAAACTCTGTGTGTGTGTGTGTGTGTGTGTGTGTGTGTGTGTGTGTGTGTGTGTATGAAATACAGATTTCAGTGTGGAATTTAGGTTTATGAGATTATTTTGGCTAAATTCAATTTTCTACAGAATTTTCATTTTAATACATTCTTGTGAAAAAAGTATATGTCGACTAAAAAGTATCAAGACCTCTGTTATTGTGATCACTTCCCTCAGATGATTTTATGTATCACATCTACTCTTCTCAGAGAAGTTGACATGATAACCTAGATTTCTTCACTTTAATACCACTAAATAAGCATTGAAAAATGTTTACTCTTCTACCAAGAAGAACCTGTTTCAGTGTTCATACTGTGTATATATTTTAAAGGGCAATGATAAGACCATTAAATGTTCTAAAAATGTTTGCATGCCCCATCTTTTTCCGAGGCACTGAGGGTGGACCAATTAGGAGAAACCCAGCTGGAAATGTGGCTAGACCAATGGTGCAACGTCTTCCTGAACCACAGGATGTCATTCAGTGCTTGGAAGTTGGTTTATTTGACACGCCTCCTTTTTATTCTAATTCTACAAACAGTTTCCGAAACACAGTAGAAGGCAAGTAAACAAAATCAATGTTTTGAACTGATCTAGTTATCACAGTAAACTGAAGTATTCAAATTTAGATCTCTTTGAAAAATCTTTGAATGCCATATTGATCCTGTGTTTATGTGGTATTACCTATTACCATATAGTCACAATTTTCTGATCAGAAAAAAACTTCCTCAAAGAAAAGTGTCAGACAATAAAACTTTTAATTATCATAGGAGAATCTCTTGGAAATTATTCTCCAATCTCTTAAATACCTAAAAAGTATTTAAATTCAAATTCCTTGATAAGTGCCTGGCCAGTATGTGTATAACTATATCAAATTCTAGTATAGGCATATAATATTCAACACTTTGATAGCTTATTAAATTTTTTTCTTAAAAGAATAACAATAAAAAATTCTAACTAATTTGTTGACATTCAATAAAGCCTGGTTTGGGCATATGTGTTATTTAGGTCTGTGTCAACCTATAACATTTTTTAGATCTTTAAAAATTCAAACTAGCCTCTAGTGATATTTATTTGGTTTTCCTTATTTAATTCAAAGTATTTTAAAGCTGAAGAAATTGAGATCCAAATAAGTAAAATTAATTTTCCAAGATATTCAGCTAGTTAGTAACACACTACAGATTTAAATCATAATTTTCTAAGTTTGATTTCTTTATAAAATAAATTTCGATACCCCTCAATCATGCTTGATATAAAGTTTTAAAAGAATAGAAAAACATTTAACTTTATTATAAGCTAGTTATTGTCAATATTTACCTTAAATATATAGCGTCGTACATGATAGAGTGCCCCTCCACACTCCCAAAATTGATCTCTCTTTCCCCATGATCTGAGATACCTGATGTATAAATCTGATAATTTTCAATTTTATTACCTTTTATTATCAAAATTAGATACCAAACTGTTCTATCTTTTTGTTAATTTTAATAACTATATGTGAATCACTAATTTGGAGATAATTCAATAAATAATCACTATGTTTTGACTAAATTGGTATATATAAACTAAGGCTATAAGTGCTGATTTCTAAAAGAATGTACAGATTGTATCTTATTGATACCTAATCAAAAGGCAAAATATACTGATTTCCTAATAGAATTATGAAAAGACTAGTGCCACACATCATGCACTTTACAGGCAATTTTTAAACTTGTTTTTTTATTAAAAAATAATTAAAGATGTATGAAAATGAATAAATTAGTGTGATTACACAAGTGAGTTAATTGTATTTTAATTTTTTTTTTTTTAATAATGTATAACCTTTCCCTAACCTCCCATCTCTGGCCCTTCAAACCAAACACACACACACACATAACTCCATCCCACATCATGAACCCTTTATTTTTGTTTGTGATCTATCCTCATCTTCTCCCTAATATATATACATGATATATATACATATATATACGCACTATATGTATAAAATATGGGAAATATGTATTATATATGTGATATATATATATAAAATATGTATGTGGATATATAATATATGTAAATCATATATAATAGACAATATGGAAATATATATATAGAAGCATATATAGAATAGAGATCATTATCAAAAGTTCTATAAATGTTTTGACAGCAGGCTTTCCAGATGTTTATAACTAGTACAGAGGTGTTAAGGAAGCTCTGAGAAATTATAACTTTTCCACAAAAATAACTTTCCAAAAATAAACATGCTGACAGTCATTCAAAAGGAATAAGGTAAGAAACTAAAGTAACATCTGGCAATTTCGGTTCCAGGACAATCTGAGTGGTGTTCTCCCAACTGTGTCAGCAGTTTTTAGTAGAAGCTGGAGATTTCAATATCATGTAGGACAAATGTTTGCCCTGTTGAAATAGAGAGTTCTATACATTTTGACGTGTCCTTCGCAGGTTACTATTCCTAACCTAAAGGCTGCATTTAGAATGCTATGCCACTAGCTTAAAACTAACCTAGCTGTTGGTATAGCAAACAAATGTCACCAATCATAGGTTCAGAGAAACAATGCTATTATATTAAGGTAAAATTTGGCCTGACAAGCTTAGGAAAACTTGTTTCTCAATATAATCAGTACTGCTGACTTGAAAAGTAAGATATTTTTACTGGTTTTTACTATTCTCATTTTATTTTTATATCTAGGTTACAGTGATCCCACAGGAAAGTATGACCCTGCTGTTCGAAGCCTTCACAATTTGGCTCATCTATTCTTGAATGGAACAGGGGGACAAACCCATTTATCTCCAAATGATCCTATTTTTATCCTCCTGCATACTTTCACTGATGCACTCTTTGATGAATGGCTGAGGAGATATAATGCTGGTGAGACACTTTCATATGCTTTTTGCAGGCTCAGCAAAAAAGATTGTTCCAATGGCATAGTTACTACTTTAAGGCTAAGCACTTGACAAACATAAACTATACTTCAAAATAAGGACAAAATAGCTATAACATTTAGCTGTTTCCAAATATTCCAAAAACACTTTGAAAATGCAGAATTCTCTCAGAATAGTTATTATAAGATGATGTTTATTAGCATTCATTAGGACGAAGCAGGTAGTCCTTTCTTATTTTTACTACGCTGTTCAAATTTTTCTTACTAATATCTTCCAATAAACATTCTCATTGCTTTCTAATATAAATAGGAAAATTTTACAGAGTTCTTCTTTGATACTCCAAAAGACCAAAAAAAAATTATACTCATAATACAAATTGTATTACTTTATTGCCTCTCAAAAATGGAAATTTTGCTCAACTTGAAAAATTAATGTTGTTTTTTATATCACATCATCGAAAATATTACTTTTCAAACAAAACATATTCTTTCAGTTAAAACAGCAAAAATTTTCGTATTTTAAAAGAAAAGTGTTCTAAGTCTTGGCTTCTGTGCCTTTATTTCATCATGTACATAAACATAATATTGGAGATAAACTATGTATTTATCCAATTCAGCCAGTCTCTTATTTGTGTGTTTGCGTGTGTGTGTGTGTGTGTGTAGTAGAATCCTTTAATTCAACCTGATAAGGACTATTAATTGATGAGTTAGTCAAAATAGTTTGTTCCAAAAGAAATTCATTTAACAATCAAATAACTTATGTATACCTATTTACTGGCCTGTCAATCTGCTATGAATTCACTGACAGGAGTTTCATCTAATTTTTCATGTGTATTTACAGATATATGTACAACTATAATAAATTATCTAGAATTTATAGTATTTGTTTAAAGCAAACAAGAAATTAATAACCCTTCAGATGCAGTCTAAGCACAGTATTATTCTAGATTTCATAATGCTTCTCTAACCCTCTATAATCATATTGTCCATTCCTAATTATATAGCAATATTTCAGTCATTCATCTTTAACAATTCTTTCAAAAGCATTTATTTATTATAAAAACATCTCTTTTTAAAATCATAATTATTGCTTTATGTACGTTTACCTAGTTTATTTTTATAGTGATAACAAGTAAACTGGAATTAACAGGTTTAGGAATGAACAAAACAAACTTTGTTACACGTATACTTCTGGGACCTAGACAGCAATGTATGAGCTGCAGCTATTCAGCCATACACAATGCCATGGATATTAGTTTTTCAGAGGAAATAGAGAATCTTGGGTAATTGGCAAGTCTCTTAAGTGAAGTTTTCTTTCAACTATGAAAACATATATTCCTTTGCCTTACATATCTTGATTGAAAAAATTATTTCACATTCAAAATAATTCGTTAAAATTTCTCCATATCTTCATCTAAGTTACTGATGAACCAGAAAAAATATCTCTGTTTCTTAGTTATTTTCCTTCTACTCCCTCTTTTTGTGCCATATATAATGTAGTATAGGGTTTCTCAGTTACCTGGTTTTAGTGAATGAAGAAGTACCATAAATGATAGAGAACTAGCCTGTAGTATATTTCTAATAAAATGTGGACACAAACTTAGAGGAAAAGCCAATGTAAACACAAACTGTATGAAAGCTAAATTAGAAAGAAAAGAAAGAAAGAGAGAGAAAGGAAGAGAGGGAGGGAGAAAAGGAGGGAGGGAGAAAGACATAGAACAACTATGTTAGGAAGGGAAAAAAAGATTGGAAGAATTTTTTAAATGTCCATGTAGCAGAAGTCTTCATTGAAAATAAGTCTACAAGAGGAGGATAAAATCATTTTTCAAAATGCATGCAAAGTTTACAGATTATGCTTCAAAAATCATAGACTTATTAGGGTCAGAATGGAACAAGAAATACATTTTATGGGTGAAAGAAATTGCAGTCATTCACACTGTAGTATATACGACAGAATCCACTCATTAGATGTAAGAGATAGTAAAATGCAGAGCATCCAAACTCAATTTAATATAATGTTAAATTCTAATCAGTAAAGTTTGTGTCCATGCACACATTTAATTCAATTCCCCCCTTTTTTTTTTTTTAACTGAGAATCAAATGAAATAAGCTTTAAAAAAAAAACAGCCTGGAAGTTTAGTGCATTTTTCAGAAGAAACAGTGCATACATTTCCCAAACCAATCACTATTTTACGTATTAAGCCTCAAGAGAACACACACACACACACACACACACACACACACACACACACACACACACACTCTTAATTCCTTTCACAAATATTATTTGACTCTATATCTTAGCTATTGTGAATAATTCTTCAAAGAACATAAGGGTGTAGATATCTCTTTGAGATACTGATTTCATTTCCTTTGAATATACATCTAGAAGTGGGTGGCTGGATCATAAGATAGTTCTATTTTAAATTTTTGGAAGAACCTACAAACTGTTTTCCATATGGTTGTACCAATTTACATTCCCTTCAACAGTGCACAATGGTTCCCTTGATACTCTCACCAACACTTATTATCATTTGTCTTTTTATAATACTCATCTTCACATTTTTGAGGTAATATCTCATTATGCTTCTGATCTGCATTTTCTAAAGACTAGTGATGTTGAGTACCTTTTCTTATACCAGTTGGCCAATTGTAAATCAACACAAGGAGCACTTTAAATATATAAAATTTTATTTGTCAATTATGCCTCAATAAAGCTGTAAAAAATATTTGAGCACCTACTATTTTCTAGGTAGTATCCCAAGAAATACAGTAGCATACAAAACACACAAAAATATTTTCTGTCCTGGAACTTTCCTACCTGTTGGTAGAATAACAATAAACACATGTAAATAAATAAACAGTATGTTAGATGATGCATAGTCTTTGCAAAACAAAAAACAAAAAACAAGAAATGTGACAGGGAGTACTATGTAAATTTATAGAACGCCCTCCCAAGACAAAGGAACAAAGGAGCGCACTGTGTCTGGAGAAGAGTGGAGAGAAGGGAGAGAATGGAGAGAGATAATAATTAACATCAGAGGGATAACATGGGGTAGATGCTGAAAGATGCTGCATTTTACTCTAAGAGAGATTAGGTGTCATCAAAGGGTCTTGAATAGGAAAGTTAGATTACAATTCAATTATTATTGTTTGTTATGTTTACTATTATTCTTTCCTTCATCTTAATGGACATAACTCTAGCACACAGCTGAGCTGAACCAGGTTGAGCTGATCAAGTCAGGATTCAGTAAAGATAAAATGAGAAGTTTAAAAAGCTAAGTTATTAATTTTAATATCTAACCTTAATAAATAATTAGCAATAATACACCAAAACGTGACTTCCTTGAGGGCAGGATTCTTGTCTGTTTTGTTCAATGCTATAGCCCCCATGCCTAGACCAGTGCCTAGTACTTGTAGGAGCTCAACAGATTTTAATAGATAAATACTTAATTAGCGTTAATATATACTAAATTTAAAGTGACAAAAATATAAATACTACCTACCATTTCTATAACCAATTGTTGTTCAAACTAGATTCTAAAATATTCTTCTGTGCTTCATGAGATCATAGAGACTATCTGGGTAATATACTTCTTGTAAACAAAATCTAATACTTCACAAGCTTTCTCTCATATTCAGCTCTTCTAAATATATTTCCACACTAATGTAGTGCCCGAGCCCACTTCCAACTCTGGTTTTGTAACATTCCATTTGGTATTTTATTGTACCAACATAAATATAGAACAACAAAAAAGAACAATCTTTTGCCACGAAGAACATTTCAGTATCTTTATCCCTGATAACAGAAATTCAATAATGATATAAATGCCAGTGACTTGTATTTAAATAGAGTAGTCCCCCACCCTTTACCCATGGGGGGTTGGGGGGATATGTTCCAAGACTTCCAGTGGATGCCTGAAACCACAGATAGTACTGAACCCTGTAACTGTATACACTATGTTTTTTTTCCTATCAGTACATATCTATGATAAAGTTTAATTTATAAATTAGGCACAATAAGAGATTAACAACAATAACTAGTAATAGAATAGAACAATTATAACAAATATTGTAATAAAGTTATATGAATGGCTTTGGGGTGATTACTAAGTAAAATAAGGGTTATTTGAACACAAGCAATGTAATATCACCACTGAGAGGGCTACTAAGTAACCGACAGACAGGTGTACATACAATAGATATGCTGGACAAAGGGATGATTCACTGCTGTCAGAACAGAGCAGGAGGGCACAAGATTTTATTATGCTACTCGGAACAGCGCACAATTTAAAACTTATATTGTTTTTATTTCTGGAATGTTCCAATCAATATTTCGGGGCCTTAGTTGACTGCAGGTAACTGAAACCGTGGACAGCAAAACCATGGATAAGGGGACGCTACTGTAGAAAGAAGAGAGGTAGCAGGAAGCAAATAGGATTCCAGGACCTTGACTCAAAATTTTAAGTGTTTTTTGCTAACAGAGTAAACCCCAAGGAATAAGTTAATATTTATTTCTCTAAAAGTAAACAGAAAAAATAAAAAATACTAAACAGAAATATACACAGTGAAGGAGAAACAAACTTCCATTAGATTAACTGTCTCTCGAATTTAATTACAGATGATGCCACAGCAAACTATAGGTCCATCTTTTATTTAGCTTTGAAAATATTTAACGAATTTTATGCAAATTAATTTCTGCAATTTAAAAGTAAAACAATTAATAATCATAGATGATAAAATACTGAAACTTTCCAACCTTTGAACTTTCTTCTTCCATTGAATGACATGTTAATACTATGCTCAAGACATCTGAAATCCATTTTATGCAATTCTCTGTTGTGCTATAGTAAAACTTTTTATGTCTTTATTCAGTGTAAAATGTGAGAATATTTTTAATGTTACCCTTGACTGTTTCAGGACACTATCAGAACATAGTAATATATTAATATTAACAAGATGCCTTTGGCATATTTTAGATATATCCGTATTTCCACTGGAAAATGCCCCTATTGGACATAATAGACAATACAATATGGTACCATTCTGGCCTCCAATTACCAACACAGAAATGTTTGTTACTGCTCCAGACAATCTGGGATATACTTACGAAGTTCAATGGCCAAGTAAGTATTGAAAATGTATTTTTACTGTGGAAATTTCCAAAAGCAAATTTGTTATCTTTAAAGTAAAGGAATCACAGTATTTCTGAGGCGTACATTTTCCACTTGGATTGAGTTTTCATTTGGACTTTTGTGTAGGAATAAAGAGAGCAAATTTAACATTTGTTGAGAGCCCACTCTGGCCTGGTTGATTATTTAGCACACTATCTCATTTCATCTTTACAACTCTCTGAGATAAGTATTATAATACTCATTTTACAAGTTAAAAAGACAAGGCTTGGAGAGGGTAACTGTGAAATATAATAATTTTAGTAAGCAGAGAATATGAGTTTTGAGCTTAGGCCCATGTAAGATACCCATACTTTTCTACTATATAATGTTTTCTCCATTTATTTATCCTGAAAAAAAAAAATGGAGTGAGATACCCTGAGCTGTTTTTTCTCAGATTTTAAAATTCAAAACTTTTTAACTTTAAATTTCTTTCTCAAGAAAGATGGTTGTGTGTAGTAGAAGAGCACAGGATTTGAATTCTGAAAACCCGAGCTCCAAAACCTACTCTACTACCTACTAACCAAGTGATCTTTGGCAAGTGACTCAGACACTGAGCCATCATTTCCTCATGTTTAGAATTGAAATAATAATGACTATCTCAATAGGGTCTACTCATTATGAGAAGTTAGGAAGTGCCTACAAGATGACAAATGCTATAAAAGGCAAAGTGGCCAATAAAAATTAAATATGAGGATTTCTGTAAAGTGCCTAAATTTAGGGTACTCAATTTTTGGTTGTAACTATTATACTATTTATTTTTTGTTCTCCTTTTATTTTTCAAATAGGTCGGAATTTTAGTATTTCTGAGATTGTTACCATAGCAGTAATTGCTGCTTTATTACTGGTTGCAGTAATTTTTGGTGGTGCTTCTTGTCTGATTCGTGCCAAAAACAAAAGGGATGAAGCAAATCAGCCTCTCCTCACTGATCAGTATCGACACTACGCTGAAGAATATGAAACGATCCAGAATCATAATCAGTCTATGGTCTAAACTATAAAAGACCTATTTTCTTATGCATTAGTATCACAAAATTCCTGGTTGAGTTACTAACTGTATCTTCTTTTACTGTTACTTTCTTCTTTAAGCATTCAAATGTTGAAATTAAAGCTCTAGATGTTATTTTCCAGAGCTGGAAAGAGTCACAATCTTTTCAATGGGCTCTATTTTCCAGCTCTATTTGAAATGGTAGGTTGCACCAGCTTCATGGTATTTAAGTAGCAAGTGTCAAGATTTTTGGCATGCTTTGAAGGTCAGCTATATGACAATGTAAATAAGCTATTTCTGCTTTGTTTATGTGTAAGGAAAAATCATGATTGATAGTAAATCCCTGATTAAAATACATGAGTAGGCATTTTTACAATGTTAAAATGTAAATACATTTCCATTCATTGACATTGACCAACAAATATAAAAGAAGCCACAGTTAAAATAATTTATGTGGTGTTATATGTGAGATCCCAATCAACTTCTTCAATCTGGTCTTCCCCTTTGGGTATCAGTATATATTATTTATTCTAAGGTTCAAAAACACAATAAAATCACAATCTCTGTCACATTTTGAAGAGGTAAAAGCTTCACTGTTTAAGAGATAGTTCGTACTACCTATTTGACACTGTGTTCTGCTACCTCTCAATTCACCAAAAAAGGAACTAACCATCCCCATACTTCACCTCTCAATTCCTCTTCTAATATCGTAGAGGTCCCCAGGAAGGCATAAAGGTGGAGAACATGCATCATAGTGCTCTACAAAAAGCATTCAGTTAATTGTGCTTAATTCAAATAGCATTCTCTTATCATTTATCAGCCTTTCATGCATTTTAAAAATAAAATATTAAAATATTATTTCATTGTTCTTCTTTTTCTATGCAACTTTTCAAGAATACCATTCTTTTTCTTCCTATCTTCTATCATAAACTATTTTTTTCTCTTTTTGATCCTGTGCTACTGAAACAATATTCCAAATGAAAAATGCTATAGGCTGGTCATATTGAACAAATAATTTAATTAAAATTGGCTAAAAAAAGAAATAAAGAATAACAATGGTAATCATACACTATAAAAAATGGCTAGTCTGATATTCCTAACACAGTAAACAGGAACAAGATTAAAGTTATGTATATCTGATTGGTTACTGATTTTCTTGATATTAAGCAGTCTTAAGGCTATGTATACCGGTAGACAAAATGTGTTAGTGAAATAGAATGCACATAGCAATAGCATTATTTTAACTTTCAAATAGCATTACTCAATTCATTCTCTGAGAATTTTCATTTATATACTTATAGATTTTCAGATAAATTATTGCATAACATAAGATATTTTTATATAAACATCAATGAAACTAAGTCTTCCAATTCAAAACTTTGGAGTGATTTGGAGTCATTTACTAATTACCCATTTTATAAACATTTATTAAGCACATACTAGGTTTCAAACATAGATCAAGGTAACGTGAATTTGGGAAAGGGAAAGTCAGGAATGTGAAACTGAGAAGTTCACATTTGACTTGGTCCTCAAGGAGGGTCAATGGATTTACCAAATATAAAATGAGAGAAGGTCATTCTATGTAGAAGTGACAGCATCAGCAAAGTCACAGAAGTTTGAAAGAGCATGGAACATTCAAAAATATAAAGTAAGTCAGGGTGCTTAGAGCATAGTTTTCATGGAGGAGAGTAGAAAGATAAATTAGGAATAAAATCAGAGTGTTTTATACACAATCTTATGAAATTTAGAATTATCCTCTAGGTAGAAGGAAATAGGGGCAAGACACAAAGTGTTTTATGAAGAGAATGGTTATTGTGATAATTATTTACATTATTTGTAAATAATATTTATTAATGGTAAGAATAGAAGGAGGCTAAGTGACTAGTTAATGTAGTTCATGAGAGAAGGAGGACCTGTCTCAAAAGATAAACATAATTCTAGGAAATCCTAACTATAAGAGAAAGCTACACCCATTATCTTATAAATATAACTTTGATAATTTCTCCCTAAATGTATTGCTTTATTTTTATTTCATTCAAAGCCTTCTTTCTATTCATTTTACTACTCTAGAAGATTTTATGACTTATCTCGATCAGTTGACCATTACCATCCCTATAATACACTACATCATTCATTGTGAATAATACTCATTTGCGATCTTGGATATTTCCCACTGTTCTCAGTTCTCCAGTTCTCTTATAAAACACGGTAAGTGAAGTTATTAAGCACTCATTGGAAAGCATGTTCCAGACCACTTAAACTCATTTGCTATTATATAAGCATCTATTGCATACCAGTGCCACAAATTGAGGTAAGCTTAATAGTCTAAACAGAGTAAAAATGCCTGAATGCACCTTCCTATACAATCAAGAATGAAAAGCTACTACTTTTGTGTTCTCTGAAGTTATATCCTGTCTTCATTCCTAAAAGCAGATTTCAGAGACATAATTTACAGTTCCATGTGATTTTTAAAATTGAATGCAGGGAAAAGGAAGATTTGGGCTATTAAAATAACTGTTCCAAGATTTGGTTATGAGACATTTATTCTATGGTCACTTTATGAATATCCAAAATTTCATCTATTTTGTCCTTTGTGTTTCCTAGTCAAAATTTTTTATTAACCAACCAACCAATGAAACATAAAGTTGAGCAGAGAGAGCTAATGTGAAATTAAAAAAATAATAATAATATATTAACAAACCGAGAAAAGAGCCTGTTATGAAAGAGAGAAAATTTAAAAGGAAAAATGCAAAATCTGGCACTTGAAAAGCACAATTGCAAAATTAAAGGGTCAAGGAAAACCAGAACTAGCGGAATTCTTTACAAAATAACCAGATTTTAGTGGACTTCAAGTTCAATATAAGCCAGTAGTGCAATGTGACCAATAATGAGGAAAAATGCTATGCAACTGATAAAGGGGAAAAAATACTATGCAAATACTAATGTACTGTGCTTCATTAATACAGATAAAGAAATTTGTAATATTTGAGTCATATGTGGAGTATTTATTCAACTTTAAGGCCACAGTTTAATGAATAAAATCTGTCATGGCTTTCAAACAGTTTAAGGGGAATGTCTGCAAATTGGAACATTGCCTCTTCATCTTGCAAGCAACACAATGATACAATTAATAGCCCAAGAGAGAAACTTAGGAGTCACCTCTGAATTCTATCATCTCTCTCAATCCTCATATCTGACTAATTAAGATGTTGTTAATAGAGTCAATATCTATTGACCACTATATCCTGAGCACTGAACCCATCATCTAGGCAGCATTTCTCAACTGGAGGATGATTTACCCCAAAGAGACATGAGGCGAGGGGTTTGCTACTTGCTACTGGCATCTACTGGGTAGAGGCCAGGGTTGCTGTTAAAACATCTTGCAATGCACAAAACAACACCGCACAATCAAAAAATTATCTAGCCCCAAATGTCAGCAGTGCTGACTTTCTTAACTTGGAAGTTAAGAAAACCTGATACAGTGCTACAAGGATAAACACGTTTCATACTACTCCTGGTCTCACAGAGCTTAGTAGTGAATGGAAGAGAATGACAAAAACCAATGTACTCTATTAGGGACACATTATTTTCTCACAAAACAGAAAGTCTGAAAGATAGAGAGTCCAAGGTAGGTAAGGGAGCACAATGATAGCTTCAAAGACTCAGTTTCTTTATAACTTTTCTCCACTACCACTAAAGTGTGTGGTTTTTATCCTTTTATTTATACTGCCGGAGTTGTAAAAAATGGATTTTACATCTCCAGATTGATAGCAATCCCATGCAGAAATTTTCCTTTTATTCACAAATGAATATCCTCCTAAGAATTCTGCCTACATTTCATTAGAAGCATATGGCAAGGGAATATAAAAAATTGAAGGGTTTTTTTTTCTTGGTTAGTTGGTTATTATCCTGAATAAAATCAAACTCTAATATAAGGGATAAAAAAGAATGAATTTGAGATGTGGCAACCTGAAATATTACCATACAAATAAACAAGCAATCAAGATAATTATAGCAATATGAAAGAAGCACACAGTGTGCTTTCTTTAAAGAAAATACATGATGAGAGGTATCTAATTTAGAAAAGAGACTACAGAAGATTAGCTGAAGAAGTGAAAATTAAGCTGAAATCTAGAGGATGGTAAAACTGCTAGAAAAGTTAACCAAAAAGGGCTATGATAAAAGCCAAGTCCTCATTAACCAAAATAGAATGCTAAAATGTGTTACCTCTACATTGTTTTAAGATAATAGTTTAAATATATTATTTAAGAACAGGGAATCAAAATCCAAAGAAGTAACTTGAAGATCTGACATTTATTGTGTTCAAAAGTGTGATCTGTTTGTGAAGAAAACTGGAGCAGAGGATGTTGGTAGTTTTTCATGAACATTGACTTTTTGAAAGGAAATTTTAAAGAAGACAGTGACTCTTCTGGAAATCTCAATAAAGAATGATTGATTTCAAAATAAATATCGCTGAGCAGAAATTTATTCTTAATCTTTTCCTTATGAATTAGGAATCTTTAGACTAAATTTTGGGAAGAGGGAAAAAAAGAACAATGAATAAAATCTGTCATGGCTTTCAAACAGAAACTGTCAGCAAAATGAGTTATTAATCAATTAGATTAAGCAAATTATACATGGGAATACACTCTTGTATTGTTTTCATGTACACTTCAAAATACGGGCTTCTGATGCATCCTAAAATGTATTTCTGCAATGTGCTTTTCCTTCCAGTTTTCAGATTTAGCCAGACTTTTATCAATGTATCTGTTAAAAATTGAACAGACTATTACCACAAGATGGCAGCTTTGAACATATTTTAAAATGTTGATTATGAATATCAAATGCCTCCAACTGAAATGAACAGTGAAGACATCTGCTACTATTCCTCATCTGGTTTAAAAATGTTCATGTGATCTTTCAAAGCAGAAGAAATGCAATTTTTTATTTTGGTAGAAAAAATGGCTTGTGAGATTAGTAATCTTCGCTTGGCTTAAATTCTCAATCAAATAATAATAACAAAAAATATGTCTTCTTCGAGCAACTAATTATCTATTATGTTTCAATAAAGCCGGAAAAAAAATTCCCCAAGAAACAAACAAATAAAAAAAGTGTCTTCTTATTGACTAGAACTCTCTCGTATACATTATGCTC